AGAATGGGTTGCCATTTCCTCCCTCAGGGGATCTTCCCAACCCAGGGGTCAAACCCACGTCTCTTGGGTCTCTTGCATTGGCAGGCAAAATCTTTACCACTGTGCCACTTGAGAAGCCCCATTTCTAGGCTTGGTGAGGGGAGTCATTAAATTTTTGTTCTGAAAACTTTACTTTGGATGCTAAAAATCCAGGTCCAATGTTCTGGAACTGAAAAAGCATAGAAAATTTGGGATGCTGAAATGTTTGCCACCCTGGTATTTCCTGCACTGTCATTGGAGGGGTGTCCTAGTTTGCTGAATATCAATAGATTCCTGCTGGCACATGGGGACAGTAAAAAAGATGTCAAATTCTTACGGAATAGGTTGTTTGACATGACGATGTTATGGGAATTAAGCAATGCTAACTTTAATCTTGTCCCTCTTTTTTGAAATAAGACATCTGGGTTGTTTTATGTCTGCATTGACCTACTAGCAGGAAAATAAATAAATAATTTGAACCTTAATTAGGTTGGGAATAGCATCTAATGACTTAGGGAGTTGGTAAGATTAGCTAGTTTTGGCAAAAAATTCTAAATAAATAAAAGGTGTAGGGCTCAATCCCAAGCATTTTTTAAAATAAAAATTTAATTAAAATGTAATTTAATTTAAAACATCATAATATTCTCAGATCAATGAATTTAGTAGCTTTTCTTCTTTCAAAAAGCACTAAAATGGGTCCCTTCTTTTTTCTATTATTCACAAGTGGTACATGGTTTATAAGTTCCGTTCATGACCACAATCAGGCTCAGTCACCTCATCCCTAGAGCAATGAGAAGAGTATGGATGAGTAGTCTGGCCCTTGGGAATGACTGAAAAACCACACCGAAAAACTCCTCATGCAAGTCCCCAGGCACACAAATGCTCTGTGTCTATCCATGTCCAACATGATTCATGATGGAATTAACTTTCTCTTGCCTAATGAGCTTAAGATTTTGAAATATACTTGGGGGATTTATGGAAGTGAGAGACTTAAAAATATGAGTATCATGAAACTCAAGGACCTGTCAGTGACTCTACTGGGAAGAACACAGCAGCATAAGAAAGAAGAAATGGGACATGGGGGTGATTTTTTCTGGTATTGGAAAATATGCCATCAACACCAGATATATATAAGAGACAGATGGCATGGCAGATGCTCCGAAAAAAAAAAAGACTTACTACTAGGTGAACCAGAAAAAAATAAACAAGAAGGACAGAGGGGAAAGCACACAAGTTCCCCTCTGCTGTCAAGAACATCTTCCCGTAGCTGTAAAATGTCTAATTGCATCCCATAGGCTTGCACATTACAAAGACAATCTCACCCTCTTTCTCCACTGATTGCACTTTTGGAGTTTAGGGCCATTCTTTTGAGAGGACTCATTTCTGTCTACTGGATTTCTAAGGAAGAAAGGAAGGCAACATCTAATTTGATCCATGATGCTAAAATATTATGAGAATGCTACTGCTAATTTTTCTCTGGTTCAGTTGCTGCCATCTGATATGCAGAACCTAGATGAAACTCATGTAGGTTTATTCTAGAAATGTTCCCACTTAATATCCTTTCATAGTTGCGAATAAAGTGAATGGGGTTGGCACTTTAATAAATTTAAATCAAAGTTGTTTAAAATGAGTCTTAGAAAGCTGGTCTGTGTTCTCTCATTGGTTCCCCAGAATTTAATATAGGTTCCTTGGCAAAATTATAAGTTAGGATGTGTTATGGGTCCATGGAATTGACAAGGAATGGTTGAAACCAGTAAAGATGATCTACAAATGCTAAGGGTTTACTGTGAAGCACACATATAGACAATAGTGCCAACATATATAGAATTAATATACAAAAATCCAGCAATATGCACTTGGAAACCACTGTTCCATCATTTATATTAGACAGAAATGGATGCAACTGAGCCTAAAATTGCCAATGTGAGTTGCTAAAATAAGAAAAGTATGTGAATAATATTAAGGCCATTGCCAAAAGGAACAAAAAAAACATGTTTGGGAAAGTATCTAGTGATGATTTTGTCACTGTATTTGGAGATGAAATTGAATAACTAAAGGCTATTGAGTAACACTGTTTAACAAATAACTACTATAGCTACTATAGGGTTTTCAAGGGTAATTTTGATTATATGTAACATTTACTTTTCTGTATTGTTTTTAGAAACCCTAATAGGTTTCCTAAGGTAGACCCCATTGTACACATACAATTTCAGTAATACCCACACACATATGATTTACAAAATCATTGCAAAAATGAAAATAACAACATGGAGTCCAGACATAACTTAGACACCTTTTTTTTTTTTTTTCCATTTTAGAGGAGAAAATGCACCCAAGATCACCTGGAAATCTCTGTCTATTCTATTCCTTATTTTCTTCTTTTTATTCTATTTCTTCTCTCAGTTGCCCAGATCCGTCCTTCCCTCTGTTACAGTTAAGTAGGAAAGACTAAATGTGGAGAATGAGTTTCTAGAGACTAATATCAAACTAGCCCTTCCATCTGGCTTACCTTGGAACAAATAAGTATACTGTTTGAGGATACACACTTTCTACAAAGCTAGGGAGACATCACAGAGAAGCTATTTCAATCTGGAATGAGTCCTACATGGAGACTTGCCTACCGTGTGTCCCTGCTAAATACTCCCAAAGGAATAAGCCCTGGGTCTGATGCACCAGCCAGGAGTGGATCTCCCTTTGGCGGGGGTAGGGAGAGAAGGCTATATTCCAGCATTAAGTGGCTGGTTGCCACAGAGCTATGAAATGCCATGTTCCTTGACCCTATCAACAAGTGCAAATCTCTATTTGACACCCTTTGTTAGACTTCCAAACTTGGACAATAACTCATGATAAAACAGCTTCCTATTCTGCTTTGTGGAATTTTCTGTAAGAAACTCAGAGAAAGTATAAATATTCCCTGATTCCAGCAGAGGCTGGATAATGCTGCAGTTATACATTCTATCAGGCAGCAATCTGTTTGTTTGTGTGTTTTTTTTTAATGTTTTGAAGCTCCCTTCTAATAATGTCAACACATAATCTGTGTTTATACAAGAGACACGATTATCTTATTAGTATCACATAGTTTGTCTCCTAATTGAGAATATCCTCCTTCCGTAGGTATATAATGCAAATTATAATGTTTTCTGCTTCAGAGACTTCTACTTTATATCCCTCATATTAAAGATTTATACTTTATATCCCTCAGATTAAAGATAATGATAGAATGGGCAGAATGAGCTAAAAAAAAAAAATGCTGAAAAATCCCAATGTTCCTCTATCCTGTACATAGCATAATTGCAAAGGACATTTTTCCTAAGAGGAAAATAGTTCACTAGGCACTTAAAATGGGAAGTAATTTCAGTCTTTAAGAGCTGCCACTGCATGGCATCTTACTTGACAATTATGCTCGCATGACAGCGTCAGTGCTGTGTTTCAATGTGGTATTAAGAATACTGTGACATCATACTATCTTTGCTATACATACTTCTTACATAAATAAACTGTTTATGATTCACTTTATCAAACACCTATTCTTTGCTTTGACAAAAATATGCATTTTATGTCATTTCCATGGATAATTTCTTATTATGAATTTCCAACACTGATCTTGCTTTATAATAGGCTTCTAATTTACTCATATCAAAAAAGCAGAAAACTCTAGCAAAAAATAAGATATATAAATATATATTTTAACCATTTACTTGTTGTTGAGAAAGAGATACATGATAAGGAAAAAAAGTTTCCATAACTTTTTTTTCAGAAATTCAAACTACAGAAACATTTATATATACTTCAATCATTTACAGCTTCCATAACATCTATAACCCTCTAGCAAGAACAAACTTTTACAGAACGTGACTTATTACAAGATCCAGAACTACTTTTTGAATCATCAAAATTAAATTTACCTTTAGTGTAATTTTACATTATGTTCTAATTCATTAAAAATTTATAAAGCCATGTCATATAGTAAGCCTTGAATAATCAAAATATTATTTTTTCCCTTCTTTTCCCCAAATATCTTCATTCTCATTTACCTCAGGTATGTGAAAATTCATATGAGCATAAATCTCAATTAACTAGAACCTTCCTTTAAATTTTTCCTCCCAAACTGTCTTCTTTCTCAATTGGTTCCATAAATAAACACAAATTGAAGAAAACCTGGTTTTAGGAACATTCTGAAAGCTTTCACAGGGAGATGCTTAAATTGTCTTCAAACTGTAACAGAAAGGGGATAAAATACTGCAGCTCCTTGAGACTCAAAAACCAGATTGCAACAAAGAGTCTCATTTTGAAATAGTCACTCTTATAAAGTCTCTGCTCAGATAGCACTTAGCACTTATCATCACAGATTGGAAACTAATCAGACCTAGAGTCATTATAAAATAAGAAGACCCTCAGAGAACTCCAAAATAATGATGGCTGGGTTATAAACTCCCCTTCCAGTTATGTTTATTGTTTTAGTTGATGGAATCACAGGAGTGAAACGAACCTGGAGAAAATGAGTGCCATAATGGCAGGAGCCACACTCCCAGTGAGGGCTGCCCTGGTGTCTCAGCTGGTAAAGAGCCTGCCTGCAATGCAGGAGACCCGGGTTCTATCTCTGGGTTGGGAAGGTCCCCTGGAGAAGGGAATGGCAACCCACTCTAGTATGCTTGCCTAGAGAATTCCATGGAGAGAAGAGCCTGGTGAGCTACCGTATACGGGGTCACAAAGAGTCGGACATAACTCAGCTCCTGACACACACCTGCACACACACACACACTCCCAGCGCCTGCAGATGCTTAAAAATTAATGAATATGCAGGATGCAGAGCACTAACTTTGCGGGTAAATATTGAAACTGAAAGATCGACTGGAAAGGGTTTTTATTTTTCACATTCAATCAAATAAGTCTGAATATATTTCATTTCCTACCGTGAGTGGAAAAAGTCATCAAGTTAGAATCAATAACTCTAGGGTCTTTTATTAAATTTCTTCACTCACCTTCCATGGGGGTGTTACTGTCTGGTCGATTTGCAAAAACTACATCCACATACTCGAGCTGCAGCCTCTGGAGGGAGCCCTTCAGTCCTGGGAACAGAAGCAGAAAAAAATCTCAAAAAGTCTAAATTAAACATGAGCAATATTAGAAATTGCTGAAGTTTGCTTTCCTGCAAGAATTTACTTAAAAAAAAAACACATTGGATTAGTTTCAAAAAGACATTGAATACAGTGATGTGTTCATTGGCCCCTAGAACCCCTTAAAAATACATCAAGGATTGACATTGTCCCCAGCAAAGAAAAGCCTTAGAACTTTCTCAGCAGCACCAGTGCTATACTGGAAATCCACACTTGGAAATGACCTTTCTCAGTGGCTCCTGTGTGGCTGAGCTAGAAGCAAAGTTTAGAACAAAAAAGCAGCCTAAAAGTTTAACTTCTTTCTTTTTGAAAAATGCAAGTTTATCTCACATTTTGAATTACTTAATGGGCTCATATTGTGATGGAGATATATTTACTGCACATCCAAAACATTAAAATTGTGTATATCACAAATAAATGACTGACAATCTCATCTTAATGTACACATGGGTTTTAATAGGAATAAAAGGGTTGGCAAATGAAGATTTCACTCAACATTTTACTAATTGAAACAAAGTTTGGAGAACCTTAAATATAGCTGAGTCCTACCATTTCTATTATTCCCCCTTATTTTGAGAAGAAACAAAACCACTAGAAGCTCTGAAGATTTAAGGGGTAATATAAAGGAGAGAGTTAGAATTTTAAAACAAGTCGAACCAATAATCTATGTCTCAACTCTAACCACTGAATCACATTCCTATGATTACTCAGAAAAAAAAATTTAATTTCAGTAAAATTAATACTTCCCCGAAATAGGATGTATTGTATACAATATTATGCAACCAAAAGGATGACAGTGTTCAAGAATTACTTTATCTCATTTCTAAGAGGCACAGCACTTCCTTATCAGCCTATTTAATTCCACAGGAAGACTGGAGGTTTTTCTCGTTTTATTATAGGCATAAAATTAATTGCACGTTAAATGAAGCTCTTACAAATTTAAATCTGGCGTATTTAAATTTGATTCTTCAAACTGGTTTATTGGCCAGCTGCAATTACTTTTCTGACAGGAAAATGGAGTGCTTGAATCCAGTTCCGGAATATTTTTTCATTCATTGAGAAAGGATTGATTGTCTGTGATGGCAGCTTATTAACAGAAGCCCTGATGAAGAGATGAGGACAGACAGGTATTGTAAGGGAAGGTCTAATGCCTATCCTTAAAAACTGTGGTGACCTTCATGCTCGGGGTATTACCAGCAATCTCAATGGGCATCTTGAAATTAAATTTACCTTAAAAAGCATTATGATACGAACCCCCTCTGGAAGCAGTTGTATATATGGAGGAAGGAGAGGAAAAGATAACCAAGCAAACAGTCCACCGTGTTCCTCTGTCCATGAGATTCTCCAGGCAAAAATACTGGAGTGGGTTGCCAGGCCCTCCTCCAGGGGATCTTCCAACCCAGGGCTCTTATGTTTCCTGCATTGGCAGGCAGGTTCTTTACCACTAGTGCCACCTGGGAAGCCCAAATAACAGGGTATCCCAAGGTCTGAAAGGTTGGAAATCTGTTCTCTAGCATGTGATCCCACTTGCTATCCCACAAAGTTATTTGACTTTTTTTGTGTGACTCGGTTCTCTAACCTATAGTGGAGATAACAATCCTTATAACCTTCAGAATCACCACTCCAGAGAACAAATAAAATCAGTTGGCAAGCACTTGGTAAGTGTAACAGTCTACAGAAGTGAGTTAATTATAACAGTGGTGCTCACATCTGGAAAGGTTCAGGATAAGCGGTGCCAAAGACTAAACGCCAAAGATTTTCACTGGACCTCCTTGCTTGAAAAGGAAGTCATTAGTGACAGTTCTGGCCCATGCCTGGCACTGGAAGCAAAGTTCTCCTTTCTGATGATGGTCTTCTACCTCTGTGTCTCTTCTTAACAGTTTGGCCAGGGCTAAGAGTATCTAGGAGAAAAACTATGACTAACTTGATCCTGTTGAAATGAGGTATGATCAGTGATGATGTAAGTTTTTTTCTTCAGTGTCCTAAACATGTACTGAGTCTCAATTTGATCCTGAAACTGTGGCAGTCTCTGGATGTTTAAAGATGCATGGATGTAGTATCTATACTTATGGAGCAAATAGTACACTTTGAGAGCATTTGTTGGTATAGGTTCATTGTTCAAGGTAATAGTGTGTATCCATAAATAATGACACTGAACTTGATATAATGCAATATTCTCTATATTCAGTCATTCCTCATTTCTCAGTTCTTTCTATGAAATGCTTTTTTTAAATTATTTTTTAATATTTAGGCCAAGAGTCAAGAGTATTCTTATAAGAATATAAGAAATGATGGATTGCATCCTGTCAGTGATCCACCGAGTCCCTACTCTGACCTTGAATTGAAGTAAAAAGAGGTTGTGTTCCTAAAAGGCACAGTCCATTCACTTTGAAAATGTTAATCACATAAAGCCTTGTAATCCATGGTATGACTTTTGGAGTTTACTCCACGTGAGACAACAGAGTGTTGGTGAGGGGGTAAGGAAATGAGAGTTAAGCCAGGAAAATGATGTTATCAGATTTGTGTTCTGAACTGATACTCGGCTGCTGAGAGTGACCCGTGAGGGGCCAGAGAGAAAGCAGAGAAGGAGAGCAGAAGAAGGTCACAGCAGCAGACCTCGCGTGGACCAAGCTGGTAAGAAGTGTTCATGCTCAGGACAAGTTGTGTAGGTAGACATAAGAGGACTCTAGGCGTGCTGAATACGGAGTGTGGAGCTGGAGGTATCAAGGAGGACTCTTAGATTTTTGGCCTGAAATGAAGTGACTGTTAGTAAATGAAGTCACAGGAGAAACACATCCATGGCGGGAGCCACGCTGGGTCTGAGCAGCACGTCGGTCAACCCCACGGCGCTCTTGGCAGCTGGATGGGCCAGTCTGGCGTTCAGAGGAGACGGGCAGGTGCAGGTGTCACAGCATGGAACCCAGCTCTGGCTGGGTCTGAATGACCCTGCCAATGTCTTTTAGCCCCTTTGGCGTTTAGTATTCTCATCTTTCCCAACACAAAATGGAGCTGATGATCTTTCTGTTTCCATTCTTCATGTGACTGCAAAACAAATCAGGTAGTCCTGCCTTTTCCTGTTTGGATGCTTTAATCTTGTAGCTAAGTTGCAGCAACATAAAGGCTTGCTAACAAGTGTCTCCTTGAGAGCCATTTAGAGTTTATCTCCAGTAAACAAACAGTCACGTTCTATTTCCACCGAGCAAAAGTTTGTTGAGCTCTGACTTGGGGCCAAGTATTGTTCTAGGTAGATGTGTGAAAAGGCATTAACCTTGGCTCCAGAGGAGCACCCAGTCCACACGGCTAATCGTAAGCTGAGGACGTAAGTGCTCCCGGGCACTGAATGTACTTGCTAAAGTGCAATTTGGTTCTTAAATTTTTGTTTGCTCATTTCTTTTCCTTTTGGCCATTCTGGGTCTGCATTGCTCAGGCTTTCTCTGGTTGTGGCATGCAGGTGCCCCCCTCTAGTTGCAGCGCACAGGCTTCTCTTTGCAGTGGCTGCTCTTGCTCCTGAGTACAGGCTTCAGAGCACGGGCGGAGGAGTTGTGGTGTGTGGGCTTAGTCGCCCCATGGCATGTGGAATCTTCCCAGACCAGGGATCGAACCCATGTTCCCCAAATTGGCAGGTGGATCCTTAGCTACTAGACCAGCAGGGAAGTCCGAGAAGGCACTTTTGACATTAGCCTGTAACTTGGTACTAACACAGTATCTGTGGGAGTGAAAAAAGGAGCAGGAAAAACGTTTCCTGCTCTCAAGGAAATGTCTAGAAGTTAACTGGAAATTCCTCAGAAGGCCACAGGAGGATAAATTATGTTATGTAAAGACAATAGCTTTCAAGTGACTATAATAAAAAGAAATCGAAGTTAATCTCCCTTTTAGGTTCTGAAGTTTAACAGGAACTGCATTGTTCATAAGGTGGAGCAATTCAATTAAATCTATTTCACAGGCATCTATAGAAATATGCTCATTTCAGACATTAAGCAGGTTGGCAGGCTTAGAAGTGGGTCATGTGTTCACTGTGGCAGGTTTAACTCTGTAGAAATAAGGCCATGAGTAGTTTGGAAATTCTGCAAGGGTTCTGTTCAAATATGCTGTGTCATCATCTTCTACTCCTATGGCATATTTGTTTTCCTGTCAGGCTTGAAAAAAGATGTTGCCTTAAATAATGTACACTGCTTCTCCATTTAATTTTCCAGCTTCTTCTCGTCAGACCTTCAGTCATGATTTGATCTTCTTAAAAAAGACTGTCCTGTATCAGAATAAGTGGCTACACTTCCCATTATGAAACATGATTATTTGGGGTGGATGATTTCAATTTACCATGAACATGGTACATCAGAAAGGAGCCCTGTAGTGAATCCATTTGTTAAGAAATTTATTCTTTAATTGAAAATTATCACTTGTCTCTTTTTTAACAAGTGCAGATTGTAGGGTTTGACATTTGCCCTTCATTAAAAAGTCTTAAGCTGAGCTTTTAAAAATATTTTTCCTCTCCTACTCCTAAAACAGTGACAGTGTTTTGAATCACATAACAAAACTGTTGCTTACCTGAAAGGCAAATATAGACAGACACAGCTTTTGCTTATAAAAGCAAATAAACACTTTACTTAAGATTACAATTTGATTTACCAAACTATTTCCATTCTTTCATGTTAGATACTAAAGAGCTTTGATCTGCTAAATTTTAACACTGGCACAAATTTGAGTTTAATGAATATTTGTGGAATGACTAATTAATAAGTAGACTTTCAGAGCCTGAGTGGATCTTGTGATTCCAAATGAATATAGTATAGAATATTCCAAATGAATATAGAAGTATAGAATATATTCACTCCTTCCTTGTGAATCTAAGGAGAATGTTGTTTCTAACTGACCTAAGTCAAGGACTTAGGGCTTGTTGAAAAGTTCTTTCATAGATTTTTTTTCAAAACTGCATTATACCCAAATTAAGCTAATTTATACTCTAAAAATTAACTTAGGTAGCCAAGGTTATCCAGCACACAGGTGGCCTGAGCTTTACAGGAACTGGACTTCTGTCTCATTCTTCAAAAGCACTTCTCAAATTTAATGTGCATATGAAACTCCAATCTTGAATAAAGTCACCTTCATCACAGGACAAGTCCCAGTGAACCCTGAGGATAATGATTTGTAAACCTCTTCAAAATTTATTTAGGTCTAGAAATCTCCTGTCCCTTCTTTTTTTTTCCTGTAAAATTCACTCAATTTCCTAATTTCAGTCTGCCTAGAAATATCCTTTGAGCTGACTCTCCTGCACTCAAGAGTATTTTCGTCTTTGGCTGACACTGTAAACTGCAAAATAACACCAGCAGTAAGAACATTATAATAATTAATCCCAATTCGTCTTCAATCTGAAAAATTTGAAATTTTGTATTATTTCGAATCTGGGTCAGCTTGAATTTCAGTTGAACTGGTTTATCCATCCTGACAGATTAGTTCCTTAAGAGAATTCCCAACTTATTTAAAGGGGGAGAAAATTTAAGGTATTTCTATTAAATTGTATGAGGCTTGAAGGAACCTGACTTAAAAAGGAGAGAAAAAGAGTTCTGAAATTATTCATAGACACTGGTACATATTAAAGCAAAGAAGATCCAGTGAAAAGACAGTAGCACAACTTCTCTATTCTTTTTCTCATCGGTTTTCTATTTCTTTGTTGATTGCTATTGTAAGCCACTTTCTGAATCTCTTTTGGAATCAATTAGATCAGAAAGAAATGAAAAACAAGAACTTTCTAGGCAGCACACTGCCACCACATCTGTTCCGCTTGGTACACAAGCTGAAGACTTGGATTTTTTCTTGTTGACAATCTTTGTGGTAGATGACATACATCACTGGGGCAAATACTAGAGCAGGAATGGTAACAGTTTGGGGAGGAAGCCTGGGTTTGACTGTACAATGTCAAACTGGACACGTGACCTGAGAAGGCATTTTGTGTGAGTGAGGAATTTGGAAGCTTTCTCAAGAGCCAGAAGGCGGTCATTCATTGTGGTAGTTTCAGAATGTTACTTACTTAGTGTCCTTTTCCATAGAAGCAACACTAATAGGTGCATTAGGAATGATGATGGTGATGATGATGACAAAAGTAACATTTACTAAGTGCTTATTATATGACAGACACTGTCCTCTATGTGAATAATCTAAGTTTAATCCCTGAACAGTAACCTTGTGAGGCAAGATATTTATAGCCCATCTTATAGTCCAGGAGATGAGCCTAAGTGAGATTAAATAACTTTTACAAAGTACCCCAGCTCATAAATGACAGAGTTGGAACTTGAACCAATGTTCATCTGATTTCAAAACCCAGATGCCTATAAATATACTAAAACCAGTTAGTGATCAATACATTATTTTTGTGCTTATAAGTAAGTGTTTGCAGGTAGACAGAGAAGTCGGTATAACTAGAGGGAAAAGTAAGGAACGATATGCACTGGATTGTGAAACTAAGGAATGGGATGAGGTGAGGAAAGGGAGGAATTAATTTTTTAAGTTTTATTTTTAAAGTAGTGGGATTAGAGTACATCTTATGTTTTTTGGAGTGATTTTAGTATTTCATAAGTGAGATTAGTTTTAAAAAGGAGAAAAATCATTTGTCTCAATGATTAATTATGAATAGAAAGGTATAAAAATCTTGAATTTTTATGAAATAGTTCATGAACTAGTGTAAAGAAACATATGGCAGCCCCTTTTAACATTTTTTTTCATTTATACTGATACATACCACAACATTGATGAAATTTATGCTAAGTGAAAGAAGCCAGTAACAAAATGTTACATATTATATGACCTCATTTATATGAAATGTCCAGAATTGGTAAATCCATGGAGACAAGAGTAGGTTGATGGCTGCCTGGCCTGTGGGAGAGGGTAAGGAGGAGATAAGAAGCGACTGTAAGCAGGTATCAGGTTTCTTTGGGGGATGTGAAGGTGTTTTAAAATGAAAGTGTCAGGGGAGTGTAATCTCCTCGGTTCTGTCTCATCTCAACAGAAATTTGAAGCGATGGACATTAAAGCATGTCACAGCTCTCAGACAGTGTTATAGCTCCCTCAGTTTTATTTAGAAAATAAAGGAAAATACATCCTCGAGGTGTGGGGGCATGCCAACCCAAAAGACATGAAGAGAAGAGGGAGAGAGAGAATGTGTGCGTGCGCGCAGGAGAAAGAGAGACCCCCGCAGCCCTTTGGCTCCTTTTTATATGTTTTTTCCTCACCCCTGGGCCTGCCCTGTGTAAACTGGGCTAGCCAGGAGTGCTGTTTGTCCCACCTGAAGTCCTCACTCTGGTCCTCGACCTGCCTTTGTTCTATTTTTGCGGGCTTTTCCCTTCCTTGTCTTTTAGCCACCACCATTCTGGACTCCTGTTTCCAATTCTAACTACCTAACAGAAGCATGGTGATGACTGCATACTCTGTAAATATTCTCAGAGCCAGTGAATTGTACATTTTAAATGGGTAAACTTTTATGGTATATAAATTATAGCTCATTAAAGCACTTTAAGAAACCTTATGGAATTCCCATCAACAGTGTAAGAGGGTTCCCTTTTCTCCACACCCTCTCCAGCATTTATTGCTTGTAGACTTGGGAATGCAAACTAGTACAGTCGCTATGGAGAACAGTGTGGAGATTTCTTAAAAAACTGGAAATAGAACTGCCATATGACCCAGCAATCCCACTTCTGGGCATACACACCGAGGAAACCAGATCTGAAAGTGACACATGCACCCCAATGTTCATTGCAGCACTGTTTATCATAGCCAGGACATGGAAGCAACCTAGATGCCCATCAGCAGACGAATGGATAAGGAAGCTGTGGTACATATACACCATGGAATATTACTCAGCCATTAAAAAGAATTCATTTGAATCAGTTCTAATGGGATGGATGAAACTGGAGCCTATTATACAGAGTGAAGTAAGCCAGAAAGATAAAGAACATTACAGCATACTAACACATATATATGGAATTTAGAAAGATGGTAACGATAACCCTATATGCAAAACAGAAAAAGAGACACAGATGTACAGAACAGACTTTTGGACTCTGTGGGAGAAGGTGAGGGTGGGATGTTTCGAGAGAACAGCATCGAAACATGTATATTATCTAGGGTGAAACAGACCACCAGCCCAGGTTGGATGCATGAGACAAGTGCTCGGGCCTGGTGCACTGGGAAGACCCAGAGGGATCGGGTGGAGAGGGAGGTGGGAGGGGGGATCGGGATGGGGAATACATGTAAATCCATGGCTGATTCATGTCAATGTATGACAAAACCCACTACAATATTGTAAAGTAATTAGCCTCCAACTAATAAAAATAAATGAAAAAAAAAAGAAATCTTATGGAAGTGCTTTATTAATGTTAGCATAGTTGTAAAGAAGAATGCTAGAAAATCCAGTCATTTTCTTTTGAGTTCTCATACTCCCCTGTATATTACTTCACCCCTCAGGAAGCAACATAGGGTTGATTGTGGCTGTCCTCATAGAAAAACTTTTCCCCCTTCCACTGTGTTTTGAACTTATTTGGTTGATATGTTTCTTGAATTGGCAACCACAAATGAAAATAAAATGGTAGCAGCAGTACTCACCTTCAATAATATGTTTTCTTGACAACCCTCTTTCTGTTTCAGCTCTGAGAAGAAAAAGAAGCAAACGACTTTGAGTGGGGTGTGCTTTTTTAAAAATCGCTGTTTCATAAGTACAAAAGAATAATCATTCTTGACAGAATTTTTAATGCTATTCCTTGTTCTTGGCAAGTCTGTACCACTGCAGGTTGGAGAGAGATGACTGGTGGGCAGTACATCCAGAGGCTTTTCTTTGGAGACCCCCAGAGATGAATTAACCATCACTGTCGTCATACCATGTAAATAACAAGTCAGCCATGTATGCCTGTCCATATATAATTTGATACTTGACAAATGGCTCAACCTTCCCACTGTGTTCTTAACCAATCCTAAACCAAACAAAAACAAAAAATAATGACATCAGTTTGTGAGCTTACTATAAGATTGTTAGGCTACTGATAGCATTGACTTTTCTGAAAAGGGAAGTAAATTTGAAAGTGCCTTTTGCCTTTCAAAAGAAAATGAACAGCTATTTTCTTTTAAAATGTGATGTACTAAGTCTTCCTTAAATTAGTTTCCTAACAAGAAAAAAACCTTTAACTAGGATTTTTGCCTGCCAAGACCATTTTCAAACTCTAGACAATTAGAAAGAAATGTGGTCCTTGAAGTTTTAAAGTACTGATGAATTATTTCTTTAACATCAATACCTTTGGCAGCCCCTTTTTAAAACACAGTAGTCTATCATTCACCTTTGGTGATTTTATATCTTTTAAAAGTATATTAGATAATATTGTATGTAGTACTCCACTACATACTGGTTCTTGCAGATTGTCATATTTCCTGTTTATTTCTAAATTATAGGCAAGGTTTTCAGTTCCACTGCAAAAGCACCAAGCAATGGCACCATGAATGAGAGTATGCACAATGTAAACCTACATTTCTTACAAGTACCATTGGTTTTATTTTTTAATAGACTACAATAGGAATAAAAATCTAAAATCCATGTTTCTATCTTCATATTCATCATAAACAAACTCAAAAAACAACAATAAAATATGAGTGTGTGTTTTCATTAGAAGATTCCCCTTCAATTTTATCTTTAACTGTTTTGTATTAATTATAAGGAAGTAAATAAGGTTTTGTTTGTTTGTACTTGTCTTCTTTTTTTGTTGAGGCTCCATGAAAATCTTTGAGATTTCCATGAAAAGTATATGAAATAGCCTGCTATTTTCTCACATGTTTGTCAAAGAGGCCAGTCTCCTAAGACCTGCTGAATAATGTAAGCACCACTTCAAACACCAGTCAGCCCATCAGAAGCCAATTCAGCTTGTGAAATTTGTTCTGTATCCCACAACAGGGAGAGGACCACTCTTTCATTTACCCTGACAGAAAGTGATACAGGCAGCTTCCTGTTATTCTTCGATGAGATAGTCCTTTTGATCAGCATTTTCAGAGACCTCTGCAGAAATGATCAGAGACTTACATGTGGGGCCAGGAAAGATATTTTTATCACTGTTTTCTGTACAAGTCTGAGTTTTGGCAGATTTAAGTAGCTTTTCTTCTGTGATGCTGTGTGCTTATTTTCTTTGCCTGAAATTTGAACTCTATTTTGGAAATGGTTCTAAGTATGAGGTTGGTATTTGAAAATCTCCATGAATCACTTAGTAACAAGTGACCACATGCTCTGCACTAAACTACTTTGAGGGTATCTTGCTAAAATTGAATCGTAGGCTAATTGCTATTTCCTTCAAGTAAGAAAAAAAAAATCTTTCTTTCCAAACCAATTAATTTTAGTATGTTAGATGTAAAATGGTTGCCTAAAATGATCCAAGCATGAACTACTAGTTGTTTCTTGTCAAGTAGAGAAGAAAAGACATTTGACTTACTTTCCACCCCAGTAGAGTTTGGTTGTTATGACCAGGCTGGACCTCCTATATGTTGAACAAACACAGAGAGAAATATTTTAAAAATTGCTGGTTATAGTATTGAGTCATATTATTATTATAGCACTAGATATAATTTACCATACCTCACATTTTAAAACTGGTGAAAGGATAAATTTGTTCATTCATGTCATTGAAATGTAAGGACAAAGGGAAGCTGATGACTGGGGACTTGAAGTCAGATCCTAGAGAAAAAGGTCTGAAGGGAAGGAAGCTTTGCCTGGAAGACCCGGGAGGGGAAGGACTGTGGCAACACACGGGTGACTGGGTGGTAGCAAAGCAAAGGTGAGTGGAAGGCATGGAGAGTCAGGATGGAAAGTGAGAAGAGTTAGTAAAAACTTAAAGGATGGACTGCTTTAGGAACTCAAATAGACAGCCACTAATACTCACCAAGCATCTGACATAGTGTTGATTGATCATGAACTTTCCATACACCCCCTACCAAAGACCATGGACCCTAGTGTCTCTGAATTATGACTCTTTCCAACCAATTGGAAAGAGTCATACAACCAATTGCCTTCACAGGAAAGTACCAACTACATGGAAATAGAATAAATTTAATCAATAAATAGGAATAGCATTTCTTCCCATTCAACTTCTTATTAATTGAAAATGTTATTTTAGGAAAATAACCCTAAAATCCTTAACTCAAACTTCTACTATTTTATTCCTAAGGGAATGAAATGTGGAAATCTTGTCAGCAAATTCATTACCTCCTCAAAACCACACCCAAGGGCAGGAAATGCAATTGCACTACTGTGACTGTGGAATATGAAATATGTCTTGAGAACTATAGTCATATAATTTAAAATTGGGAGGTAGAGCTCAATACAATTTAATTTCTCCAGGTATATAATTCAATTGAATTGGCTGAGGGAAAAAAAAGCATTTGAGATTCAAAGGTTAAGACCAAACTTCGAGAGTATTTGAAATAAGGCATTTATTAATTCCGTCAGCTGTAGAGTCAGTGCCTGAAGCCCTTACACATGAAAGACTAGTGTGATTAATGATAACCAATGGGGAATGATGATGACAACTCTGACTACTTGACTGCAGCAAGAAAAATTTGTAGAAAATGTCAGTAACCCTATTCCACTGAAGTTAACTCCCTGAAAAGTAATTCGAATCACCAACAGAAGGTCTACAGAGATATACATCTGGAAATTACATACCCCAAAAGGGCTGATGCACTTTCCAAGTTAATCCATCAACCTTGTGATACCTAGTATAATAGCAATCTGCCACGGGGAAGTTGGGTCTCCTTCAGCAAGTGTTCTCAGAACTGCAACAAAAAGCTCTGGATGGAACCTTACTAAAAAATGAGTGCAGACTTCTGGATTATTCAGAGCAGTTGGCCCTGCCAAAGCCATGCATTCTACCCTTAGACCACCATAGACTTATTTTTCCCAAATTAAGCTTTCTGTAAAATGTCTGGCCTCTGTGGGTGTGCATACCAATATTTATGTTCAAATATAAGAGTAGACAACAACCTGATGAATTATCATGGACTTCAGGGGGGCATCTAGAGCAACTGTTCTGAGTGGGTGAAGAATGATATTATGAGTATTTCACATTGATATAGCACAGCTTTCAAGATTCTTTTGTTCACCTTATCTCACTTTATCAGCACAATGCTCCGTGAACAGTTATGCCACCCATTTTACAGGTGGGTAAATTGAGGCTCAGCAAAAAGAAGTTAACTTGCTCTGGACAAAACAGCTAGCAAGTGGTGGTCTTGGGACAAAAAGCCAAGGATGCTAGTTGAAACCTGCTTTTGTAGCCTTCATGCTATGATGTTATGGTCTATCTTCTCAACAACCTCAGGTTGAATTGTTATGACCTGATGTCATAACAGCTGTGAACTGTTATGACCTGATGTCAATATTCTGTAGCATGGAGATAGCCTGAGTGTTTATTTGCAAGATTGAAAAGCATTTTGTGAAAGATGCATGTTAATCTATTTTCTACAAAAGGTATGTAAGAAGTTTTGCAAAGTATGGTGAGTGATGACTAAGTGTGTTGTGGATGCAGAGGGGAAGAGAGTTACTGCACCAAAGCTTCCCCTTCATCCTCAGGTGAACTCTGGCAGCCTGCACCATGCTGTTGATTTCAATGGACATTACTGGACTCATCTCCAAAGTGTCTGTTATAGGTTGAATTTTGTCCCCCACAAAAGATATGCTAAAGCCCTATCCCCCAGTACCTCAGAATGTGAGCTTATTTGGAAATAGGGCCACTGCAAATGTAATTAGTTAAGATGAGGTCATGCTGGAGTAAAGTGGGCCCTTTATTCAATATGACTAACGCCTTCATAAGACACTAACACACAAAGGGAGAAGATCATATGACAGAGGCAGCATTGAACAGTTGCAACTATAATGCACAAAATGCTAAAATGCAGCAACCACTAGAAGCTGGGAAGAGGTAAGGAAGGATTCAGAAAGAGAATGCTCCTGACCAAGTATTTATTTTGTACTTTTGGATCCCAGAACGGAGAGAATACATTACTGTTGTTTTAAGCCACCCAGTTTGTGGCACATGGTTACAGCAGTCTTAAGAAAGGGATACAGTCCTATTTGAGCAGTGATGGATGGGTCAACATTCTGAGTGGAATGGTAACTCAGGCAAGGTGGAGGACTGGGTGGGGATGTGAATCTCTTTCCGTATTTAAGGTTGAATACAATTTTCTCTTCACACTCTTACAGTCCCTGGAGTGGGGAAAGAGAGGAAGGGAAAGGGAGAAAGTAGGTCACCAAAGTTCATTTGTTCATATTTCCAGGAACTTCCAAGTTTCCGTTTCCACTTATATTATAGAACTGTTATCTGTTATTTATTTGGCCATCAGCAGATCTTATACAAGAGCAGAAGTGAACTCCAATTTAACCAGTGGTCTTTGCTGGTCTTTGCCTGAGTCTGTACTCATACTGGGAAAGAAGTGGCTACTGGGGCTGACACGCGTAGTGAAACGGAGAGGGTTTGCCGCTCCCCCTCCAACATTATAGCATCCATCGTAACTATTAGCTTTGCCTCTATCAGGTGATAGGATATGCTGTAACTCCTCAGGCAGGGCAGATGAAGCACTTTCTTGAATGTCCAGATAACAGGGCTCCCAGCACACAGGAGAGATGCTGGCTCAGACAAGAAAGCTTTGGGATATTTATCCCAAGGGTTCCTTGGGTCATCATTTCTTTGCATCCAGAGTTGCTAATAAAATGAACAATGCACGTAAATACACGTATGGAGATAATTAACGTTCTGTAGCTGGCTTCCTTCACCAGATCACCACACAGGGCAGTCAAAAACCATGAAATGCCACTTTATTTTATGCACAATTATCTCATGAACATTCTCTGCTCAACCCATGGTAATTCATTGTGATCAACAACAAGTTAGTTTTCGAAGTGCAAGTAGTGAGCTCACTAATATTTATTTTCAAAGCACTGTAAATTATTTCTTTACTAAGAACTGAATTTTCTGACAGTCTTTTTGGTCAGTTGTCATGCAACTTTATTTTCTCTTCTCTGGTACAAAATAGTAACAGTTTTTTTAAAAGGCTATCAAATGAGTATGGTGAATGCATTACCTCCAGCCTTTCTTCTTGATGATGCTCCCCAGAATCACTTCAGCCCTGGAGGGGAAACAGATAATGTCTCAGGACACAGTACCCTGGAAACGCAAGAGTCAATCCAAAAACACCAGACCCCTTCCTTGTTTGAACTGTCAGTGCCTACATGTCCCGAAAATAGAAACCACTCTCGGCTGGTAGCGCAGTTTCTGCTGTTTCTGCTTGTGCCTGCATAATCCTGCTCCCGGAGCATTCCCGAAGCACCTGCCAAATCCTGACACTCTGGCAGGAGACCGCCTGTGGTCCTGATAGTAGGAAACAGTGGAGTCATTTGGCAGGTTGGTGTTTTTGAACCACTGATCCTATATATAACTGTCTAGCTTGGTGGTATTCAAAGGGAGTCAAGGGTTTCTTTCTAATGGCCATGGTCTCCGATTGTGACCAGAGAGGATAGTGAGACCTCATGCTTTTCAGACAGAAAATACTGACTCCCAGGCGATCTTGCAGGGTTAGAGAACCCATGTGTGGCTTTAGACCTCCCAAAGCCAGGGCTGAAGTGGCCTACAGAGAGAATGTCCTGGGTTCCAGTGACAAGCGTTGTCAGAAGAGCAGGATATACGAAGTCATAGGGGAGTGTCCTTCCTGCCGCTGACGCTGGTCGTGGAGAGTTATACTGAAGACTCTCTCTCCATCCTCTCTCCCTCCACCTACCCCAGCTGGGACCCAACCTTACGGATACTAAAACTTTCTTCTAGGTTCCTCCCAGTCAGACCAACACTGTGAGAAGCAGGTGGGCTCTCAGAGGCTTTGTGAATGGAGACATCAATGTAATCAGTGCATTGTCCATTAGCATTCTACAGAGCAAGTCATCTCTAATTGTGATTTGTCTTAGCTGAAAAGTCCTGTCTTTGTTGTAAAGCCGGGCAATAAACCCTGAGGTGGGTTAGCTGGGGAGCATGAACCAAGGAGAAACACACTGACTGTTCCGTCAGGGTTCTTTCTCCCTGTCTCTCTCGCAACCGTGCATTTCACAGCGGGAACCTATCTCAGTACAAACTGACAAACAATCAATAATTAACCAGGACCAGTTATCCTTCACAACAGGAATGCAAACAGAACCTAACAGACTTGCTAATCACTCCCTCTTTTTCAGCTTTAGCCCCATTTGGTAATAAGCAGGATTCAACAAAAGAAGAAAACACTGAGATAAAGTAGGATGTGGAAAGAAACAAATCCTCATCAGTTGTATTTTCTCTCCTTGGACACAACAGAAAACATCAAGGATGTGGGCTCTGAACCTGCCTGATAGTCGTTGAACATAGCCCTGCCCCGGAAAAGGAGGAAACCCAGACTGGGAAAATACACTTTTATCAGGCAGTGATGAGCTTGATTCAGCAGTTTGTTATTCTCACCCAGAAGGGGAGGAATTAAGCCTGCAGGTGACTATGTTCCTCAGCCCTGTTAGGGAATTGCAGAGCTGCTCCAGCAGCAGTCTAGATGTTTAGTTTCTTTTCTGCATCCATGTTCATAACAGGAGGCCAAGGCGTCCACTTCTGTTGAATGTGCTTATTGTGTGGGACCAGAGGCTGTGGATACTGAAGACATAGTACCCATGTGCTTTGACTTATCACTGAGCCCTGTCCTAGAGCTCCAGACCCGTTCTAGGGTCCAGAAGAATGTTGTAGTCAGTTGGGACTTGTCCAGAAAAAGAAGTGAGGCCTCTTCGCAGCCCTGTCTGTCCTCAGCGTAAGCCTGAAATGCCCTCTTATAAAAGATATTCGGTTTCTTGGCATCTCTGGGAATCCCTCCTTTAATCTCTGCTTCCGTGCAGAGAGGATGTGCCTGTTCCCCTCAAGGTTGAGGAACTACACGGGGTGGTTATAAAATCAAAGACTAGCTTTGGAAAAACCACACTGGAATCTGCTCACTTCTATTAATTACATTCAGCTAATATTTATGGTCTGCACTGTCAGCACTCTGGTCACAACCACTTCTGCCCCTCAAGTATTGACAGACTGTGGCGATCACTTCCAGTCCTTTCTTCACACAGGACCAGGGGTGGGAAGGCCTGGGTGGACGGAGGGGTCCAGAGATGGTCAATCGCCCCGATTCTGGTGGCGGTAGGTCAAGAAGGGAAGCAAAGCAACGGCATCAGCATGTGTGGGAAGGACAGGCGCTTCTCACGAATGTGTCAGCAAGGGTCTGGGGGGCGTCTCTTGGGCCCAGAACTGAGAGTTGAGAGACGCAACAAGCTGTGACTTACTTTCCAGCGGCATAGACCTCGGCTGTATCAAAGAGATTCACTCCGCTCTCATACGCGATCGTCATCAGCCGCTCAGCAACCTGCAAGAGGATGCGAAGGTCAGTCGGAAAAGCCAAATGCTTTACAAGCCTGGGAAGCAACTTGGAGTCCTCTAGTGGTCTTTCAGAACATGGAAGTCTCACGACCAGTCTTGTTTTTCTCAGTTGTATTAAAGAAAGAAAGAATAAAAAGAAGGTTCGACCAGCCTGAAGATGGTAAGATGACCCCTTCCCTCAGACCTGTCCTGGGCACTGAGAGATTTCCTTCAGCGCTGAGAACACCCAGCCACCAGGAGCCAGTGAGGCGGAGGGACTTGTGTTTCTCACTCTGCTTGGAACACCTGGCTTGACAACATTCTCTGTGGCTCTGGAACCTCTCTGACCAAGACGGTCGTCTGGACCCCTGGTCACTTCATTTCTCACCTTTCTCTTTTTCCCAGGCCAATAGGTCCTGGCAGCTGGGTGACTCCTGACCTAAAAGCTTGTGCCTTTATCCCCCCTGGAGGCTTAGCAGACTATGCTGAGGAAGCAAAAGTTAGACAGAGCTGGGACTGCTGGAAAACTCCTGTCAGATCAGCACAGCCCCAGGCACCGTCACAGAGTGGCCAGCAGCCACCCTGACCCTGCATGGAGAGGAAAGGCTGAGCGCTCCAGTTCCTCACAGGTCATGCCGAGACCCCCAGGCTGGCGAGTGTGAGAAAAGAGCCTGGGAACAGCTGGAAACTACACCTTGAGGGATGGTTCTGGGGGGACAGCAATAAACAATGCTGGAGAAAGGACATTTTTTTCATTTTGTTGATCGACTTCTTAGTTAATTGAAAAATTACACACCTCACAAATAATTGAAATTGATTCTCACATCATGTTTTTCTTTGTGGGCTAAGGCTGCTTCATCAGTATTTCCAAGATAATCTCTTTTCCTATTTTTTTTTTTTAAAGTGACATCCCAATAAAATTGTCAGGCTAGCACAATGCAAATCCTTTAGAATAATAGCGGCTAAAATGTTACTGTGTGTGTGCTTAGTCTTGTCTGAATCTTTGTGACCCCATGGGCTGTAGCTCACCAGGCTCCTCTGTCCATGGAATTTCCCAGGCAAGAATACCGGCGTGGGTTGCCATTTCTTCCTCCAGGGGATCTACCCACCCCAGAATTGAACCCGTGTCTCCTGCATCTCCTACACTGGCAGGCAGATTCTTTACCACTGAGCCACTTGGGAAGCCTATTATTACTGCTTCTAATTTGGCACCATTATGATGTTTCTCCTAAGTATAAATTAAAATTTAAGACATACCATAATTGCCATATATATATATACACATATATATATATGTATGTGTGTATACACACACACACACACACACACATATTTTTTTCCAGCTGGGTAGTACAGGATGCAGGATGCTAGTTCCCCAACTAGGGATCAAACCTGAGCCTCTGCAGTTGAAGCATGGAGTCTTAACCACTGGATTGCCAGGGAAGTCTCATGCCATATACTTTAGAGATTATTGCACTTGTGTTGTATATCAGTCTTGTGTTATGTCATGTGTCATACTAATGGATTATTATTAGGAAATGTGCATAATAAATCTCATCTAGGGAGAAATTTTAAGATGTAGGATCCTGGATGGAGAACTGAACTAAATGATAACACATTTCCCAATCATGAGATCTGAAGATCTGAACATGGAATAAAGGAAATCACAGGACTAAGTCAGAGGACCGGTGTCTGAGCTTGAGCGTACCACTTACTAGATAAATGCATGCGTGCTCAGTAGCTTCAGTCATGGCCAACTCTGTGACTCCAAGGACTGTAGCCCGCCGGGCTGTCCATGGGATTTCCTAGGCAGGAATACTGGAGTGGGTTGCTATGCTCTCCTCCAGGGAATCTTCCCGACCCAGGGATCAAACCTGCATCTCCTTCATCTCCTGCATTGCAGGAGGATTCTTTATCACGGAGCCACCAGGGAAGCCCCTATTAGATAAATACATGTTGGCAAATCATTTGACCTCTCTGAGTTTCAGTTTCATCATCTGCAAAATGGGGATGCTTCTGTCCTGCCTGCCTGGGGAACCTGCAGATCTCAGGCAGAGCTGACCTTACCTCCCTCCAAGGAGGGCCTGGGGGGCCTAACGTGGTTCAGGGAAGGTCATGTGACACATTTGGACCCACAAAATGTGAGAGGAGATTGACTGAGGACTGATGGGGACATTTTTCCTTGTTCTTCTTGCAGTGTTTTTGCAACACTTTCCCTGGAGCTACTTTTCTCACTGAGATCTAGAATGCCTGCCGCTATCTTACTGTTTGGTATGGATGAAATTGACATACACAGGAACACAGGGTCAGGAGAATCACTAGGAAATGCAACGGAGGCCCTGACTGAGTCAACCTGGAAGCTTGCTCTAACTCTGCATTTCTAATGTGAAAGTAAAAATAGTTTTTTCCCTTATTTGTTCAGCCAGTTTGAATTGGATTTACTGTTACCTGCAATTGAAAGAAGCCTGAAAACATTCCTGCCAAGTGGCTATTCAGTAAATGACTGAACTCCCACAGTAATGGGGACATCACCAGCTCCCAAGGCGGCACGGATAATGATGTCACTCAGACTGTTGTGGTTAGTATCGGCTCTGTGCCTCCACTGCCACAAGGAAGTAGGTTAACTTGACCAGTTCAGCCATGGGTGTGACTGTGGCCCGGGTGTGTCTCCTGTCTTCCTTGCTGGCAATCTCTCTGCTGGGCCCTGGGGAAGAGCCGCAGCTGCTCTCCAGAAGGACAATGGCTATTTGTCTGGTCCGCATTGAGGTGAAAGTCTCTGCAGTCATTCACAACAGCTTTACTGTGTAGTTTTTAGAATCATAATTTTAAAATGATTTGTTTCAGAGGCTGGCCCAGCATACTCTGACCTGGGCAAGCTGGGCTCATTGCAGCAAAGAGCAGACACTGTCAAGGGCCGAGCAAAGATGAAGAGGGGAATAATGTGCTTACAGTTGACTCCTCTGCTCTGAAAGGGAAGGTGTATTTGTCTTTATCCGCTCCAAGTACCATACCAGCCAGTAAGAGGTTATGCACATGCTAGATACAGGGGATCATTAACTTTAGACCTCCCTCCTTCCTTGTCACTTATTTTGCATCTGATTGAAGTCTGCAACCATTGCTTTGATATCTGTGCACTTGCCTTTCTGCTGCCTCAATTCTCCTTTCCCAAGATGGCCCTGGAGTGGACCTGGTGATGACCACCTTTAGTCCTTTAGAACTCAAGGACTTATTTCCCCAGCTCTTAGGAATGCTGTCATCAGAAAGCCCTTGGCTAACGTGAGTCACCTAGCCCAGGCACACACCTGCCTCCCGGGGCAGCCTCTGTCCAGTGACTGGTCACACAAGGGATATAAATACTCCTCTTGCCCCAACTTGGGGCAACTCTGCAGGGCCATCTGAGCTTCAGAGATCTCCATGGGGTCAGCTGAGGTCACTGCTGAGACTACATCACAGACCAGCTTCCTGATAACTGTTCTGCAGGCTAATTTCCACCTCAGGTCTGCCTCCCAAGTACTCCCCACTGTAACAAGCCCTTTGTGATGACCTGTGCCCAATACTGGGAACAGGCATTCAGACAGTTAAAAATAAGAAGATAAGACCCCTCCCTATGGATCTATTAAATAACAGGGTGACCTTGTGAGCTGTGGAAAAGACCCTTTATCTCCCTAAGTGTCTCCTTAGGAATGGCGGTAAGAACTACCTTTCAAAGAGCTTGTCTTGTGTCAGGCACCAGGCTGAGTCCTCCATTAATCTTAGGGACCATCATCTGCATTTTACTGATGTGGCAACTGTTGGTAAAAGTAAATGTTAACAAATCTAGCTAATGCAGAGGGAGTTGAAGCCCAGTGAGTATGTCCACTTAGATACACTATCCCTGACTCCTCAGTGGTAACAAGGAAGCCAAGGAAGTCTTGGAGGGACCTGAGGGGGTTTCTTCAGGGAAGTTGTTGGTACTCAACGCCTCCATAGCTCTCTTATGCCCTGAAAGTAATCATTAAAGGCAATGGTCAGAATTATAATTTTGATAAGCACCATTCTGAATGTGTGAACGAAGGTGTGAAGGAGTTCTGTAGTAAATACGATTGTTACAGGCCCCATTTATTTAGTGTCTGCGACCTGCTAGTCAGAGGGCTATATAAATGTCAGACATGCATAACATGGTTAATATTTTCAACAGAGCTTCCCATTTTGCATATGAAAAAATGAGGAACAGAGGTTGAATTAACCTGCCCAAGTCTGGGTGACCCAGTTTTCCTAATATTGAGAAATACTAAAATGGAAACAATGCAAACGGACCAGTTGGTCTAGGTGAAGCTAAAACACATATGTATACACATGCCAGCAATAAAATCTTTTCATAAAGTTACTAAATACTTATTCCAAAATTGATCATTCTCTAATTATTGAGCCTGCTCATTTAATAGACAGACAGCTTCAAGGGCTATTAGTAGTCTAAATGTGAAGAATACAGGAAGCAAGATAAAGTGGAAAATAATCTCTGAGTCAATCTTAGCCATTTCCGGTGGTTGAAATATTATCCTTTTAAAATACCAGAATCTCAGAAACTGTATTGTAAAATACAGTTTGCTCTGCATTTTCTATGATCAGCATAATCGAAGACAAAAGTAACTCACCTCATCTGAAATTTGACCTCCAAATGTCACCCATGTTCCTGGAAAAGAATAAATATTTGCATGTTATTCATAATCATTTTTCTCACGTTGGGCATTAAGGAAAACACTTTTCTTACATCGGGGCTACTTCAGTAGGTTGCTCATGAAGGTACCTGGACAGGAAGTTCTGCCCATCCTCCTTCTACTGCTCCTAAGTTCCCCAGCAGGGATCTGCATCCGTTTGCTTGTCTTTTCTTCACTTAAAGGCCCAGTATATGCTAGTAATGGCCCTGTCTACTAAAAGCTTTTTCTTCTGACTTAGCACCACATATGCTGCTGTGTAAGAAGGCAGTGCCCCAAGCCTGCATCCACTGCACACTCATTTTCATTCCACTTGGCTAAGAAGTTAGCAGTTCTGAAAGGGAAGGGAAGACCTTTGGTCAACTTTTCCCTTCTTTTGCCTCCAATGAGTCTATTTTGCGTTCTCTATTTTGCGTTCTCTATTCCCTCTCAGAGGTTCTTCCAGACCCCATTTCCAAGCTGCAAGGGGTGACAGTTAAGCTATTCCTTTCTTATGACCTGCCACTCCAGAATGGAAATCGCCATTGGCTTTGGGGTGGGATACAGGCAGTAGCTGCTGAGTGAGGTTCAGGAAAGCAAGCAGGAGAGGCATAACCAGTTGCCAAAGATCTGCATTTGTAAAGCAAGAGAGAATCAGGCACTGAGTGGGCTATTGCCTCTCAAGTCTATAATCACCCCGCTCATTCATAAATCTCTCCTTGATCCTTTTTTTTTTTTTTTTGAGCTCTAATTACCTGCAGGCAAAGACATTGCACCCACGTGCTCAGTATAGTGAGGTGATTGCCCTAGCTCCTCTGTTCCAAGAGCTCACAATTGACAGCCGCTGCTGTTTAGTCGCTAAGTTGTGACTGACTCTTTGCGACCCTGTGGACTGCAGCCCACTAGGCTCCTCTGTCCATGGGATTTCCCAGGCAGGAATACTGGAGTGGGTTGCCCTTTCCTTCTCCAGGGGATCTTCCTGACTCAGGGATCAAACTCACATCTCCTGCATTGGCAGGATTCTTTACCGCTGAGTCAGCTGGGAAGCCCTCATAGTTGACAATACTAGACGACAAATGATATGAGGAAGGCCAATACAAGGCAGGAGGAGAAGGAGTGCTCCACTCTGACTGGAGGGAGGTGGCCCTCAAGAAAGACTTCTGAGCAGAGGTTGAGTCTCAAAGGTAGTAGCTGAATGAAGAAGGGAGGGACAGGCCTTCCAGGTAAGAGTGCAGGCGAGGCAAGCGAGTAGACCACTTGAGGGGCTGATGCACTGTGGCCGGGCTTCTGCGCCAGGTGAGGAAGCATGATGTGGAGAGGGAGGGGTGACAGGAGGTGACTGGGCACAGCTCATATTTGTGGGGGCAACAAAGAAATGTGGTTGGAAACTTATGCTTTGTAATAACAGGATAGCTACCATTTATGGAACATCTTCCAAATGCCAATAGTACGCTGAGAAACATGTATACTTTCATCACTACAAATGTGAACAAACTTACAAGGTAATTTTCTTATCCCAATTTCCAGATGACTACTCTAGCATCAACCAAACTAATAAGTGATATACTCAGGATTCCTCACACGTGCTGGGCTTTAAGGAGGACATCTTTCTCACTGCATTTTGCCACCTCATCAGTAAATTTCCAAAATTAATTATGGTATTTGGATTCATACCCTCATAGAAGCATGCTGATGTAACTATATCTTTTTTCCTCTTACTTCTCAGGGACTAAACAAGGGGAGGATATATATTATTTTACTGTTACTCTCTCCATCCCCAGAGGTTGTAAATGCGAGGTTTACAGATTGCACTCAGTTTGCAGGCTTGTTTTGCCTGGTAAGAACAATGTTGTCCCATTTGGTATTTTAATAAAAGTTAACCAACATTTTGATAATTTAGGAGATTAATCTGCTTAATCTTGGGAGATTTTTCTTTGAAATGTCTGATTTCCAGCTTCTCTTAATGACAGAGGATCAATGTCCCCACATAGCTGACATGCCCTGAATCTGAGCAGCGATGTCCTCCTTGTTTATTCAAAGGTCATACACTTTTCTTTATATTTTCAACACTGAGATCAAATGGCAGTTGTTATTTACTCCCACGTGTTTACTGCTATTTTTTTATTGTAGAATTTAGAGAAAAAGAGACTTGTGCATCTCCTACAAAACAGAGTTCAGTATTTCAAGAAAAAATAGGGGTGCACTTTTTTGGTAGATGTGAAGAATTTCCAACAAAATTCTTTGTTGTAAACAAAGACTGTTTACAACAGAAAAATTGCAACTTAAGGCACCATAATAAAATAAGCCATGACTGGTATTCAGAAAAGATGGGCATTTGGAAACTTGATGGACTGAAGAAATGGCACTATTTGTTTTGAATGAGAATAAAATAAAAGATCTGCTGTGAAGTGCAGTTCTCTATTAAGTGAAAAAATTGCCTGGGCAACTAAACCTTTTTACAGACAACACTTTTACAAAAGAGTTTCTTTTGAATGTAGCAGAAATTATGTGTCCAGAGCATAACAAGCATTTGCAAATGTTCCTATAATCAGAAACATTGCTGCTCAGCATGTTGAAAATATGGCTGAGAACTTTCAGGATAAGTTAAATTACTGGTGGCATTTTCTATTGCAGCAAATGAGCTCATATATATAAATAATAGCACACTGTTAGCTATATTTATTTGTGATGCTTTGAGAATTTTGGAGGGGTTAAAGAATTTTTGAACAAGGAGTCTCTGCAAGGCAAAACATCAAAATTACTTTGTGATGAGAAGGGTGTCAGACCATTGGATATAGAAGGCACTGTTCCAAATTGTGTTACTACAGATCAGGTTCTCACAAAGGGTAGGGCTAAGCTTGGACTCGTCAAGCAACAGATCTGAGGTGGCAGTATTTTGAAGGGGTGCTAAGCATAAGTCCATTAATTTCATTTATCAGGAATGGCTTTGGGCTAAAAAGTTAAAAGGAAACAAGCCATGGATTTGGTAATGAATATCATGAATCAGCTATTCTTCTATATCTTGGAGAAAAATCAGGTCAGTGTTTGCTGACTTATTTGTGCTGTGATCTTGGAGAGCATTTTTTTTTCTGTTCATATCATCAAAGGAAGTCCCATATCCATTTAGCAGCAAAGATTGGCTCAAAGTTCCAAGCTTCTTGCTGACATTACACGCCTTCAACACCTTATGAATAGTTTTCTATTGGGACATTCAGAATAATTTACATGAATACCTCATTTGCTTTCCTCAGTTCTGACAACACGGTGTTTGGAAAATTCATTTGTTAAAGAATAATTTGGTTCACTCTTTCAACATTGCAGTCAGTTCCCAGATTTGAAAATGGTGACCTGAAATTTAATTTCCAAAATGGGACCTTTGAATGCTGGATTTCATGCTTTAAGAAAACAAACCAGCATTTTTTAGTTTGTTGTTGTTGCTCAGTCGCTAAATTGTGTCCAACTCTTTGTGACCCCGTGGACTGCAGCACGTCAGGCTTCCCAGTTCTCCACTATCTCCTGGAGTTAGCTCAGATTCATGTGCATTGAGTTGGCGATGCCATCCAACCATCTCATCCTCTGTCACCCCCTTCTCCTTTTGCCTTCTATCTTTCCCAGCAGCAGGGTCTTTTCCAATGAGTGGGCTCCTTGCATCAGGTGGCCAAAGTGTTAGAGCTTCAGCTTTAGCATGAGTCCTTCTAATTCAGGGTTGATTTCCTTTAGAATCAACTGATTTGACCTCCCTGCAGTCCAATGGACTCTCAAGAGTCTTCTCCAGGACCACAGTTCAAAAGCATCAATTCTTCAGCTTATTCAGCTTACCTTTCTTAATTTTTGATAGTACAAATGAAGGGCTATGAAGTTACCAAACTGTACTACAAAATGGTATTGAATACTATGGCAACGTTGAAAGATAGAATAGTATTTCTATCTTGGAGGATATAACCCTCCTTATAAGAACCTAGCCATGTTAGGAAAAGCTTATGTTTAGGAGCAGTTTTATTCCAAAATTAATCTGAAAAAAATTACCAACCCTAGTTTACATACTTAAGACTTCTTACCATACATTACAGTAAATAGACCTAGCTGACATTTTGGTACAGAAGAAAAGACATCAGGTTTTTGATTCCAAGTCAGAGCAGTAATGAATTATAAGATAACAATAACAATAAATGTTTTTCAGTTTTGGTTTAAATTTTTAAATATAAGATAAAATATATATATTATATATATACACACACATAAATATATATATTATATATATACACACACATAAATATATATATATAGTAGTATATATACCATAATGTAGTATACCACCATAATGTAGTAAAAATGAGGAGTCTGGTTCCATTTTTGGGATTCTATCATTCTTCTATTCAGCTTCTTTGATTTAGGAGGGCTTCCTTCCTGACCTTTTAGACATTTGCTATTTATTTCTTTTATAGTTGTTTGTTTACAAACTTTAAATCTTTTACCAAAGAGTAAGCTATTTGGGTTTGGGTGGAATCCGGGAGTTGGTGATGGACAGTGGGTCCTGGCGTGCTGCAGTTCATGGGGTCACAAAGAGTCAGACACGACTGAGGAACTAAACTGAATTGAACTAAAGCTATTTGAGGTATAGGGCTTTATTTCATTTATCTTCTTAACTCCACAGTCCTAGAATGAAACAGTCTTTGGAAAATGGTTGATAATTATCTGGTTAAATTGAATTGAATTGGCTTTTTAGCTATCATTAATGTACAAAGTACTGGGAGAGTTTCCCACCAAATAAACATGTATATTTTGATTTATAGAAACATGAACAATGCTCATCAACAGTCTTCAGGTCTAACCCCTATGTGATCGATGCGTTTCTCCTCACCCCTGTTCCTCCACATCTGTGCCCTCTCCTGGAGAAGGGCAGGGGAGGGTCCTTGCCCCTGGGGATTGGAGGGGCACAGGACAGGCAGGGTCCACCACCAACCACGGAGAAGAACCGACACTTACAAACAGGAATCTC